ATATATATATATATATATACATATATATACACACACACACAAAAAATATACATATTATATATACACATACATACAGGGGCGCCGTTACGGGGGGTGCAGAATATGCCAGGCATATGGGCCCAGGAAGCTAGGGGGCCCCAAATCACGACCTTGTTTTTTTGTTTTTTTTTAAGCACATTGTCTTTCACTTTAACGGACAAATACACCTTGCCAATTTGAATATTTCACGAGTAACAACTCGATTCAGTGTGTTGTTACTCAGACAACCGCGTCTCTGACATCTAGAGCCCTGCATTTCAGCCCGAGCCCGACGGCCCCGACTTACGCCCCTAAGGCCGGGCTTTTTTTCACATCATAGCTCAGACGCGGGCGTGCATTGGGCCTGTTTTAGGCTTCTCCTTATTTTTTATTTTATTATTTTTCTTTTTTTATTTTAGACATCTATCAATTATGGTGATGAAAAAGATTTGCCACATTGGTGGAAACAACACGAGACCATGATACTGCGACTGTCAAGACTGGCTCGGACGGTGTTTAGTGAGCCCACCAGTAGCAGCGAGCATGCCTTCAGCACAACTGGAAGATTTTAGAAAAAAAGGAGGACTGGATTAAAACTAGGGATGCTCCTGACAAGAGATTAATTACTTAAATTCTAAACCATAATGAGCCTTTAATATTTAGGCTAGCCTATTACACATTCAAGTGCACGCGATAGGCTAAAGCTTGCCGCAAAGCCTCGGCAAAATTACCCTGAATGTGTCAGGGGGAAATGGTAAGGAGATATTGTAATTATTTATTAATAAACTAGTGTTTTCTGAGTCAGTGTCACAAAGATGAAGTTGACGATTCTGACTCGTCATCTCCTCACTGGACGCGCCTTCAGAGAGAATTGCATCTTTACGGATTACATAATGAATATTTTAATTATTTATTAATTTTCTGAGCCAGTTTCGCAAAGATGAAGTTGGCGATCCTGACTCGCCATCTCCTCAATGGACGCGCCTTTAGAGAGAAATGCATCTTTAAAGATTACAAACTGAAAGTTTTTGTTTTCGATTTGAATTATTTCATTTTAAAGTATTAATTTAAAGCTTTCTATAGATATATTTATCATGTCTGTGAGGCAAGTATTCGCTGAGTTTCTGCTCATTTGTGTGAAGCGCTCCTGTTCAGTGACCAAGATGGCAGAAAAGCGCATCCTGTTTGTTTTCTTTATTTAAAAAAAAGCACAATGTTTTATATATATTATGAGTGCACACAAATAAAAGTAGACCCTTTACAGTTTGAAATGATGTATTGCTCTTATCTTTATGAGCAAAAATTGCGGCGTTAAGTAGTGCTGGGCGGTATGATAAAAAAATTATATCACGGTATTTTTCAAAATTATACCTGTTTCAAGGTACATGACGGTATTTTTTTTTTCATGCATGACCGGGTGTTAACCATATTTTCTACTGATTGAGATAGGAAATACTGCAGTATATTGACTTAGAATGCCCTATTTTACTGTCATGATGAGTGAATATTGTCAAAAAATACCACACTAAATAGTGACTAAACACGACCCCTTTTAATACATGTTAACCAGGAGTCACTCTCATTTATAATCGCGGCATCGTCTGATAAAATCAACATGCATCTACACTAAAGAGCGGCTATGCGGTTGTTTTGGCTGTATTACTTTTTTGTCTCATGCAGCGCACTGCCTGCGTCTGAGTAACAAACTAAAAAAACAACAAACAAAAAAGTGCATGTGATATTAACAGATGAACTACGCTCATATTTATAATTCCAAACAATCAGTAGAACGTTGTTTAAGCGACATACACCGGTATTGCGGTATTTTAAAAATTAATATCATAACAAAAATAAACACCGGTATTCGGTATGAACCAGTATACCGCCCAGCACTAGCGTTAAGTTGTTTATGTTGTTAAGAAAAAAATGCAAGTGATCGCGCCGGCGCCTCAATGTCCTGCAGAGCGCGCTTTAGCTTCCCCTCTCCACACAAACGATTGACATGCGCCTAATAGCACACATTTTTAGGTTAAACGTTTAAACTAACATTGTGATATGCTTGAAGTGTTTTATATCTATAGATTTCATTTTAGGAAAGTCGTGTTGATTTTAGAAGGCTAAATTGATCAAACGTGATCAACTCATTGTCTGCCGCTGGCCGCTTAGTCGTTATTTAAAAAAAAAAAAAAAACTTGAATTTAACAAACAAAAAATGTTCCAAACATATTTCTCAATTAACTTAAACAAATGAAATGAAATATAACCACTTTGCCATTAAAAACAAAACTGAACTATTTGAATGTCTGCAACAGCAGCTGTGCAATGGGGAAGAGAGAGAGAGAGAAAAAAGACACGGGCTCTAGTCGGACTCGGGCCGAGAATTCTGATAAACTGTTGGACAATTTATATATATTCTTTCAATTTCTTATTAAGCGTCAAAAAAAAAAAAAAAAAAAAAAA